AAGTACAAAGGAAAGGCTGGCGGCACTTTTCATTCTTCTGGTTCATCTTGTTTCCAGCGGTTCTGGGTCTTCTACAGCTACGTTTCGTTGAGTTCGGCAGTAATAGTATTTCCATTCTTCCTGTTATTGTTCGCGAAGCGGGGGGGAGCGGTGAGGAAGACGACGAATGCGCGCCCGAAGCTTTGCCGAGTTTTGCCGAAGCACACGCTGCATTGGCGAAAGTGAAGTCGTTCTTTTATGCGCTTAATATTAGTGAACGTGACGAAGAAAACATTTTGAACGTGGAAAGTGCTCTGTTTGGTCTAAAACGTAAAGTTTCAACAAACCAGTTGTCCATTAAAGACTTTTTTGGTAAAAAGAAGTAACTTTGAAAGAGAAACATTGTTTTTTTTAAATTTTTAATGCTTTCCCGCATTCATCGTTTTTATTTCCCACCCCCGCCGAAAACGATGCATCGAGGTTTCACTGTATAACAGTATTGGGTGTACATTTTTATTATGCATTTTCAGATTGGAATCATCCAGCTCAGGCCAGTTGTTCCACTGGCAAGCTCTTCTGAACACAGTAATGAAACCTTTAATTTCCATAAAACGCATGGGACTTCTTGACCAGAGGAGTGAATAACAGTTTCTAAAAGAACTATGCGCTGTGGAGTTAGTAACTTTAACACAAAGTTTATAAAAGTGAATGCTTGATTATTTTCAATTTTTCATCTCCAAAATTACTTCAGACATCAGTAGCAATTAATATGATCAGTCAAAACCATGAGCTTATAGGTCCCATTAACATACAACATTATATTTTGAAGATTTCAATATTTAGTGAAATATAAATAAAAGTTAATTTTGTGTGTATGTAGCATGATTAGTTTTGTAACAATATTCTTGTGTCTGAAACATATGAACACCACAGCCAAGAGCAAAACAGCATAAAACACAACATGTGAAAAATACGTGGGGCACACATGGCCACATTCTTTGCATTTATTTATTGCAATTTTTGAATACATGAATAATACTTCACTACTGCATTATCCACTCTGCTATGCAACCCAGATACTTGTTATGGTATATCTTCACCAACCTTGGATTTTGATCATTAAAATATCTTGTGAGTAAATAATTATGTAATCATTCAATGGAGTAATAAATAATAAAAAGGAAGGTCATGTGTCAACAAATCAAGAGTGGAAAGCAAGGTTCACACTGGCTGTACTCCACTAAATTCAGAACAAAATCTGTACAAATTATGGCAGCCAAGCCCACCATGTCCATTCAGCTCAGCTACACTCAGACCTTTCAGTATTCTCAGACAAAAACACTGTACCATATTCATCTGTTTTGAAAGTGCCACTGTGATTCCATCTGTCTTTATTACAGAGAAACATCACGCAAAAATCAAAGGAAAGAGAGCAACCACATATTTGAGACCAACTGCGCATCAACTGAAATGAGTCTAAGGTTCACTCATCTTGCTCCAACCTCCTCCCCTTGTACAGGACATAAGGCAGGTTTGCCAACAAATGAAAAACAGCTTAGATACAGAGAGAGAAACATTGCCATGCAAAGTTTTCACTACAGTTCATTACCAATAATCAGTCATAAAGTAGAAGTCAAGCATCTATGTAACATTAGTTTGGGCAGCATTAGTCCTCACCTGAAAAACACACTTAATTCTGCTGCTTTCATTTATTTATATTTTAAATTTTCATATCTGGATTACATGGTACGATGTTTGGAGCCACACATTGTATAATTCATGAACTGATTTAGGCCAAATATAACACTGCAGAAGGCTGCATATCGCCAGTCACAGACGAGGAAACCCTTATAAGAGCTGCTTTCTCGGACACCCCTCTCTCATCCTTACCCCTCCTACTGACCAGGCAGTGGCATGCACCCACTCTTAATGGTTCCTTGCCTGATTCTGACTCCAATCCCCACTGTCAGGCCAAGGCTCTGTCTTGACTGTCAGTTTCCTATAACTCAAACCATTTCCATAACCCTGATGATGGAGGTAGCAAGGACCTCTGATACATTTGTTAACTTCTACCAGACTTGTTGGTGCTACAATCCAGAAGACACGGCCATGAAAACCTCAAATCCTACCCGGTAAGTACTTTATTCACAAATCATGACATTATATAAATTAGCAACACCTAACAATTTATATATATTTATTTAGTACCTTTTCCTTCTGGCGTGTTTCTTTGTCCTGCATAAATGCACTGATGTTGCATGGGCAAGGTCAGTGAGGGGAAGTGAAAAAATGTTTAACATGCTTTTGATCATGAATGCACCAGCAGTAATGTCAAACATGTCAACGTGGTTTTAAGATCAGCCAGTTCTGCTCACCAGGTTGTCATTGCACATAAAAGTTACAGCTTATTTCAGTCACTTCTAACTGCCCTGCTGAAGAAATTACACTATGAAAATTTGATTTATGTTTCTGTAAGAGTGATATATTCAATAAGCTGAAAGAAGCTGCTATATGACAAACAAAATTATTTGAAAGATCTGCTGTCATCACTCATTAAAAATATGTTAAAAATGTCTATACTTACAAACTGGCACAAATTATGTGCATCTAAAATTGGGGTCTTTGTTATCAAATTCATATGAGCCGGGATAGCTCAGTCAGTATAGTGACTAGCTACGGGCTGGACGACCGGGGTTCGATCCCCGACGGGGGCAGAGGATTTTTCCTCTAGCCTCTGCGTCCAGACCGGCTCTGGGGCCCACCCAGCCTCCTCTACACTGGGTACTGGGGTCCTTTCCCGGGGGTAAAGCCGGCCGGGGCGTGATGCTGACCACTCACCCCCATCTGGTGCCGAGGTCAAGGAAGGGAGGAGCTATACCTCCTCTCACCCCAAACACCTACATGGCGTATAGTGGGACAAACTTTACTTTACTTTGCTATCAAATTCATAGCATGCAAAGGAAGTAGCAGTTATTTCCTCTCTGTCAATAATCTGAATTGGCCCGAAGCAGTGTATGTGGGCCAACAATGAGTTTCGATGAGTGAAGCAGAACCAGTGCCTACCCACCTGAGAGTTGCATGCCAATGAAACTGCCTGCTACTTTACAAGTCTTATTATACCCTGTACACTGTTGCAAATCCACAAATACAACCACATTATAGAAATTATATTTCAAAACTTTGGTGTTTCCCCCTTCCCAACCTGAATTAGATCTTTGACATACCAGAAGAATGTTGTAGATCTTAATCAAATATACATCTAATTCCATGCACAAATCTTCTATATAAGGAGCCATTATTGAGAACACTGGTGTAGTTTAATTTCAGCTTCTTAAAGTAGGACTGAATTGAACCAGAAAATAACACAAACTTGTCTATAACAATAATAACAAATGGCTGCTAAAGCAACAAAATATTCAAGAATTACCTAAGCAACTTATAGTGAACTTCCAGTTGAGTGAAGCCAAACAGTTCCCTAGCAGCATGAATAAAAATGAGCTCAGCATAGCCTCCAGAGCCCGACCCTTGGTGTGACACTAAGGGTGGAATAGATGACTGTGTCTTGCTCCAAGGAAAGTCCAATGGTACTGAATCCATCGTAGTTAGGCTTTGGTCTTCAGACTGCAGAAGTTGCTCCAATTCAACTGGCAAAAATAAAAACAGTTCAGGTAGAGAACAGAGAGTTCAAACAAGAGTATGATATGACAACCAGTGTAAAGTGCAAGGAACAAAACTGAATGTCCAATGTATGTCTATCACAGTTGACTCCACAGCATATTCAGCTATCAAGAGGCACTCTTCTTTTGGTAGTGTGTTCATTTCATCTTACTCTGTACAATCACTGGAATTTCACATAATTTTCTTTAGAATTTGGGAAATACAGAAAGATCATACTGCTAAACCTGGAAAATATAAAGTGTGGGAAACTGGTAGAAATTTGAGCTTGGTACATGTGTTAGTGAGATAGCACAATCATGACAGTAGTGACAAAATATGTCAACATTTTTCTCAACCATGGTACTAGTTCAATGTATAATTTCAGCTTCAGGGTAACAGCTAAGTTAGATATTTGGCATTAACCACGTTTTGACACACATTCCAGTTGAAACTTTCAATGTTTGTGAGGTGGCACCCGCCAACCAACAAAAAAGCTAACTAAGGGCAGAGTCCTGTGCAAGTACAAGACATCATTCTTTGCTAGGTTACACCATTATTGTTCACAACATTTTAAGAATTTCCATTGTTTGTATATGGTTTGACCAATGTTGAATGTTATTGTCAATGTCCAAAGTTCACACCTAGATCTCAGCGGAATAGTGGTTAGCATGGGTTCAAATCCGACCCAGGTCAATGGATTTTTAAGGGTGATAAAAATCTGTAGCACAACTTCCTTTGGAGGTGAAGTAAAGCTGGCGGTACCATGTCATAGATTTACGGCATGTAAAAGAACCTTACGAGCATGAAACAAGATGTTTCGTAAGCAAAATTCAGCAGCCACTTCTCACCCAAGTCTCTCCTGATTCACTACTTGTGTAGAGGCAGTGGGCTGGTCACTCGCCACTCACAAACGCAAGCTTCAAAGACAAAAAACCTCCCACATGGGAGGAGGCCAAGGCTCGACTTTGGGCTGTTGCACCATAGAAAGAAGAAAGAAAGAAAGTAAGTTCACACCAGGTCTTGTACTTGCACTAAAGTATATTTCTGTACTGCATGACTCACACAGCACATAAACTGGTATTTCCCTTAAGCTGCAGCAAATACAGGAAGGCCTTGATTATGGCCACCAACAAAAGAGCTCTGTAACACAATTTCCATTTGAAGTTGATTCCTCTACAGCAGGGAGCCAGCAGTTCTGGCATAACAACTTGGGGAGCTGACAGCATCAGCCAACCCAGGGACGCTGAGGTAGACTTCATCTAGCCAAGTGTCTGGAAGTGCCAGGAGGAAGGTTAAAACCAGAACAGCTAAAAAAAGGACCTGGGCACCACAGCAACTGGGGTATGTGGCACTACCCAAGTCTAGGGAGGTCCTCACCATGGTGTTTAAAAGGCCCAGGGATTCTGTGAGGCCTGGGACCAATAGGGAGGCTCTTGTTATGGCCAGTAATAAAAGAGCTCTTTAATACAGAGCTTCCATTGACATCCTGCTATGCAGGTTACTGTATTTTATGGGAAGAACAGGGATGCACCAAACATCAAGAACAGTTTGGGTGCAAAAGTCAGTAAAGCACCAACCCAATTTACAACCAATCAATGCTGCAGCAAGAAACAAGTCAGCCAGCCTCTGCAATAAAATGCACAATATATTTAATGCAAAATTTAAAATTCACTCACCTGCTGTAATGACACAATCCACATCTCGTGTTTGTAATTGCTGATTGAAGAATTGTTCACGGGAAGCCTCCAGTTTCTTGTCGTAACATGGCATGAGTGTAACATGATACACAGAGTCAGGTATCCTTGATAACTGAGATGCCAAATGATATTTAACAAGTGATCCCATTATTTGTTGTGGTGATTTTGTAGTTGATATATTTGGAAGAACTAAATTACCATGAGTCTTCTCAGCATAGCACACCCAACCTGCAAGAGAAACGAGAATTAAGTAATATAAGGAACTATAACCAATAAACTCAGGATTACTAAATTCTTGACTTTGTCCATTGTCTGGTATTCAAAATAATGTGTTTCATGAACTGGATTTGTTTCCATCCTCAGGTGAAAAGGAGAGGGGCACCTACTCAGTTGGGTCTGTTAGAAAGAGCTAACCTCAGTCACTGGATAAAGTCCAAGAATTCAGTAACCCTGAGTGTAACACACCATCGTCAGAAACCTTTAAAACTGACAATGAAGCTTAACTAAGCTGCATGTTTCTTCATGAAATCCAAATAAGACTTGAAAGCTATAAATGGTATCAGAATACACAGAATATCCAGATGTGATATTTGTACCTTTGCATTCTGATTCTCCTACCTGACACGAGAGAATATACCATATCACACATACACTACTCATGCATTATGATACATATCACCCACGTTAGCTCAGCAATACAATGGAGATGATATACAAATTTAAACATATATTTTCAACAAGAGAATAATACATTAATTCTTACCTATTTATATTCTTATTCAGGAAGGAAACTGTACTGAATCGCAATCAAATTTATGCACTTTCCACTATTATCACATGTTTTAAACACTGTTCCCTTGCTTTCTACTGAACGACATTTGGGCTTCTTGATCAAAATCATGTGGACAGACAGAAAACCAGATGGAAGGATAGACAGATATGGCCAGCCCTAGAAGCATTCACAGTTACAATTTTAGCCATGGAGGGTTGCATCACCAAAGATGCACATAACAGTGAGTTGTGGGGTAGAACACTGGAGAACTCTGTCAAACAATTATAGGACTCTAAAATACTGGTTGCTTTGCCACATATTGCAGTTGAGAAGTAGTGAGCCCAGTGTCAAGTTCAGCGCAAGTGACTAACAGTGAGTTGCTGCTAACATGAGCCCAGACAGAGATGGTGTCAGCTGAGTGCCAGTATTAAAAGTACAGAACTGTGAAGGAGGCACCATAAAAGAATCTGGCATGTGTAATTTTACGTGAAGAAAGACAATTATAACCTGTGTGAAGTCAGAACCATCTATAACTAAAACAAAATTTTGTATGTCAGCAAAAAAAGAAAATAAGGAGAATATGTCTTCTGGATTATAGTGCGGTGTAGTCTGTGGTAACTGCTGCCTCCATCATCACAGTAATGACAGAGGCAGTAAATACCTCTGCAACATTGGTAAACTTCTACCAGACTACATGACACTAAAACTCATAAGACAGCCATCTTCAAGGATATAATCAGCTGTAAGAGTGCATAAAATAAATCCATCTTCACTGTGAAAAACTCAATATGTAATCACTGATATATGTAACAATATTATAAAGTGCATAAAAATGTGCAATAACAACAAAGTTATGGAAGACCAGCAGTGGGTATTACAGGAGTAACTAGTCAATCTACTAATGACCCTCAAGTATAAACCACAGAGAAATTATAACAGGAGTTCAACTTGGCCAAGTAATGCCTGTCATACTGGGCTGTGCTGTGTCCTTTACATATTCAACAAGGTGCAGACCACAAGAAGGCAAGATGAGAAGCCACAATGGAACAGGAATGTGCCTGTAAAGTACACCTCATAGTAGAATCTCATGGAGAAATTCTATAACCTACTGAAAGCATAAATGCACAAGCAAAGAAGCTCTGATGTTGCTCTCATAACTGTACCAGGGACAGAGGCAAATACCATACCACACTGTATAATAGGTGATGGAGATGTGCTGTGAGCTTTGCTACATAACTGCAGAGGTCATTCTTTGTTACACAATTAAAAGAAAACAAATTATTTTAAAAAGAACTGGTAGAAGCACTGAGCCCAATCAAGTATTGCTCCTGCTAGTGACTTGATATTCTTTTCTTTTAACATAGGTCACACATCAAAAAGACTGAAAATTCCTCTTTACACGTGCGACCAAGTGCAGATGGCTAAGAAACACTGCCATAATACACAAACTGCTCTCTCATACCTGGACAGGCAGAAGCCAACATTGGCAATGATGATTTAGATGTATGTTTTTCTTCAGCAGCTCTATAACGTTGCACAAATTCCCGCTGACTTTCAAGAAGCGCAAAATCTTCAGCAACTGCCATATCTAATACCAAGTCAGCACCCAGCATCCGGAAGTAGCCTGTGAATAAAAGCAAACATCTTTATTGTTATATCTGGGCTACCTACTGCCCAATACCCAACCAGTGATCACCATTTGTTATAATTTGTGGCTGATTTTATAGCAGGAGTTTGCTGCCACCAATTTGTTCAGCCTACACTAGACATCCTGTACTAGTGTGGTATCTGCAAGGAAACAAATTCCAGTTATTATCAACTTATTTCCAGCCAAGTTTCTATCCATCTGATCCTCTTTGGAAGTTTGGGTTGGGCAAGGATGGGAAGGGAGTTGGAGTTGTTAACCTAACTTAACTGGCTCATAGTTTCTAACTATGTACAATAAACATACATTGCAAGATCTACACAGCATTATTTACAAATTGTTTGGTTACTTTATCCCTAGTTTCATATCTCATCTCATGCTATACCCCTAGTTATCAACATCTAACCTGGTATTTAATCCAAAATCAGTTCGAACTTGCCAACTGATCAAGGTTTGAGATACAATTCACAGTTACCACATACAAGAGACAATATTGAATATGCTGAGAATGAGGATGCATGCATCCATCCATTGTAAATTGTATCTTTCTGAGTCTCTGAGTCAGACAATCTGGGGTTACAATGCGAATTCTGCAAATCAGCATTTGACGCAATGCCTTTACTTTGCTGGTGTCATAATAACATGTCACATCATTACAACACATATACAATTGCAACTGTGCCATGCTCACTACTCTTACCTTTCTTTCTTAAATTCCAGTTTTTTGCAAATCTTGTTTCATTCCCTTAATCCTTGCTCTACATCACTGACCACATTTAATAAACTATAAGAAATCATTACAAAGGCTGTACCTTTCAAAACGCAACCCAACAACAATCATGTACTTTGATAAAAAAGTAAACTCAATGCAATACACTCCCACATCCTTCCCCACAAAACTCTACTCAGGACCAGTCTGGTTACTAGGCCGCTGTTCAAGCTAGGTACCCAAACACTGCACAGGTGTGAACATGACATATTCATGTAATGAATATGTTTTTACTCTCAACAATTTCTTCACGTACTTGAGAATGTGCACTCCGACAAGAAAGTGCCATACAAGACAGCAATACACCAACTGGTAATAAAATTCTGGAACACAGAAAACATTTGTGACAGGAAACATGTCTGGCATTGGACAGTGTGCACAGGCAAGAGGGATTACTGGTTAATTTGTTATGTTATACTGATGTCAGATAAACTTACAAATACTATTGTAGTTCTTTTAAAAATTACTTACCTGGGATAATTAATAAATGAGCAAAGAATTAATGTTCTAGAAGAAACTTGAAAGAGAAACAAGAAATGAATTTACATAGTAATACAGCAAAGGATACACAATACAGAAGAATGGTGTAGAATTATAGCTGGTCAAGGAGAGTTGCTAAATATGCGAGACATAGAATAGCAATGAGGGAAATGACAGATGGATAAGATCAAATATTAATAGAGAAAATGAAAGCTGGCACCAGCAGGATGATACCAGTGGCTATGCAGGTACAAATAAATGGAACGAAAAGGACAATAACAGTGGACAGGAGAAAAGGTCTAATAATCCCCATTTATAAAAAAAATTAAAAAAGTGTCCTCTTTGGAGTATATACAAATTCCAAAGCTGTTCTTTATGCCACATCAGATGTGTGTTTACATGTGCATGATGATCATTATCAGTTTTTAACTATAATATTTTTAACATGTTTATAATATTACTAAAGAAAGAGAAATATGAAACACTGATAAAAAGTCTCTGTACAGCTCTTCTGCTAATTCAAAGTGCAGCTTCTTTCCTAGCACTGTCAGCAGTCTAGCAATGATCCTGATGCTTTCAACTTCGTGACCAGGTTGTGTATACTTTCTGTACTTGTATTTGGTTCTCCTGGTAGCCTGGGTTAAAATTTTCTGCGGCATTTTCTGGCAGACTTATATTGAAATAAAGTTACAATGAACACATACTGTTCCAACAGTATACCTCACAAGAGCCATACTGTACAACACTGAACGGTTAATTCAGAAACATATTAACAGATACAGACAAATGTGATGAATCATGGCAGAATCACATCACCAGCTGCTAGTGATGCAGAGATGTAGTAGGTAAAGTCTTGGCTAACTGCTTATGTAGCTGATATTTCACAGCCAAACAGGATATTCTATCTTCAATACATTGTGCAACAAGTACGCTGGGGAAAGACCTGAGTGCTAAGAAACTCCAGAATTTGCTAGTCTGTTTGAGAGGACGCCTTTGGTGGGTGGGAGCCATGTGCCATCTCTAGGGGGTAAAAATCTCAGTACCAAGAAAATCTGTCTTCTGTAAGAGGCCATCAAAAGCTGCTCTTGTGTGGACTGTATCTTCACTGTGCTCCATCTGTACAAGTATTACATATAAACAAGAGTATTTCCTATTTAATGACGTCAATGAATTGACAGAATTGGGAAGAAAGTGGCCATGGTGTATTTCAAAATATTACCCAATTGTTGATGATGGGGACAGAGTTGGTTCCCGAAATGTCGGTTTACTACGGTAACCAGTTGACGTGGCTGATTGCTCAAGAAGATTTTATTGATTGTACTCGCCGCGAAAGTCTCAAATCCTAGACTACAATTTATTTTACAATTCTCTGCACTTAAAAGTATTTTGATGTGAATTTACTCTTGCATGTAGTTGTGTGAGGAAATTTATCCCGTATCTTAAAAGTTAAGGGGATGAAGTACAAACAATGGGAAACATTGTGTTGGGGCCAGTTATTGTAAATCTTGGGGAATTTTGTTTTGAAATATTAGGCTTTCATCATGAAGATGAAGATAATTCAGATTCAGTGTAGGGTAGTAGGGTATCGCGATGAGAATATTTATTAATACTCTTTCGTGGCATTAACCTTTAAACGACGGGGATTTAAATGGCAAAGTGGTAGCAGCCCTACGGAGTTTTTTTTGCAGGTTTTTAAACTTTTGTGCACGCTCTACGGAAAACTTTAATATCATCTAAAGTAAACATGATAAATTGACGAAATAAAAGTCATATTTATTCAAATAGAACAGAGAATACATAGAGTTTTTTAAAAATGCAGTTAATATCTTAATTGCCTAAATAGGCCTTAGAATTAACTTTACTTTCTTCTTTGGAAGCTCATTCGACATGGTAGAAGCCATGGTTGTGAACTAATGACCACACAGAAATATTTGTTTCCCCTACTTCATTGGATACAGATTATTTTCACAGATCATGCCGAGGAATGTGAATAGCTTTGAATAGGGGGTCTGAAAACAAAGCCGAAACCCACTTGACAATAACAATGTTTATTGCTGTTTATGGTTATAATTCCAGGGTCGACAGCTCAGGTTGAACTTGTCAGAACCCTAGAGAAAGTGATTCAATATTTGCAGCCCCTAAAAGAGGCCAAAAGAAATAGCCAATTCTACTTACAATGTTGCAAGTTTTGAGTTCCGCACCAGGAACGTTCGTAGGGCTGAGTACACAACTTAGGTGCCAGACTGGGAACGCTAGTAAAATAAAGGTTAATGAGCCATATAACACACACTTTACCTTGGTTAAATTCATGCATTTCTTTCCAAGTGTAAGCTTACGCAGGATGGCAATATGGAGAAAATTTAACAAGTACCAATGTCTCTTTTTGCAGACATTTTTAACTGTTTTAACTAATTTTATAACAAAACATCTTAAAGTTTAAACCTATAATTTTATCCTTATTTGAGACATCAGGAGAATGAATAAATGATTGTCCCAGTGCAGTGACTTCAAACATGTTTTCAAACCTGACAATGGCCACATTCAGCTGAAACACGCAGTTCAAAAGAATAAATTGTGAACAGTGTGTGAAAATGACTGGTAACATTCAACAATACTATACCATCTATATCAAAAATAACTGCATAATAATAGTATAATAAGTTTCAGCCATCTGCCACCAAGAACTATAGTCCATGCAGAGAAAATTAGACCTGATGTAAACTTCTGTAGTACGTGGCCATAATCTTAACAAGCAATTTTTAAAACAAAAAAATTCAGTTTTTGACCATAATAATCACAACTGAAGATAACTAATGTGTTGGGAATGAAACCATGGCAACCTAAGCATGGAGAACAATGACTTGCATACATGTTATGTCACACTTTTTGATCACAACCACACTGTTGTTTCTTGTTTTCTTCCGCAGAAATCCAAGCTCCTTCAAAATGTTTCTTAAGTTTGTTCTACTGCCTTTGAAATTAATCCAGTCACTCTATTTCATTAGTAGCTTAGAGATAATTGTCAACATTTTTTCTTGCACACAAAATTCATGAACTGTGATCTGAATATTACAAACGTTTGCCATGCATTTCAGCAAACGGTATGTCCTGTTGGGCGTAATGAATAAAGTTCCTTGTGCTCATGCTTTTTCTGATCTCTCAAAATTCTGTGTCTCTTGTGCATCTTTCTTCATTAAATTATATACATAAAGAATAGTTTTTATCAAGATATTCAGTTTTGAATGTATCAGTGGTATAACTGACATGATATAAAAATTACTCCACTCACTTTGCACTAGTCTACTTGTTATTTGCTGCTGACAGCACCATTAAGAAAAATTTCTGCACAGAGGACCTTCTTGAACTGACAAGACGAAATAAAACCAGCTGACCTTGCCACGCCACGCAACATAAAGCAGATCTGCCTGCCAGCTTCACTAACTTCTTCACCAGGCAAAAAGTTTTTCAACCACTGTACTAGAATATATTATGCTATGCTATGCTATACTATACAATACCATACTACACTACATGACACTGCATATGCTATGCTATGGTACACTATGCAATGTATATAGTACCACAGTATTAGGGGTTTGAGATTTAGCAAAGCTGTAGTTAACACCTGATCTATAGAATGTGCAAAGGAAATTAGAATAAAGGAAATTCACATTCGTACAGAGCAAAGCAAGAACACAAGGGGCTATATGAGGTGTGACAATTAAGTTCCTGGAATGTCCCCATGAAAGCTGTATCTAATTACTTACACATTAATGGTTACTGTCTCCTTTGAAGTAGTTTTCCTGTGCACCAATACACTTAGTGAGTTGGTGTTTCCACTGCTCAAAACATTCCTGAAACTGCTATTCTAGAATGTTATTAAGGATGGTCATTGCATATCTCTGAATGTCAGCAATGTCTGAAATCTGGCAAACATAGTGGACGGTCCAATTTCAATATCAATTTTCCAGCCAAAAACTCCCACACAGAGAGTGCATCATGAGCAGGGGCATTGTCATGATGCAAGATATAAGGTCAGGTCTTCTCCGATGAACAGTCTCAAGTAACCTTGCCAACATTTCCAAACAACAATGCTGCTTCACTGTTCAACGTTGTTCTTTCCACATTTTCATTTGTTTGGTCAGTTTTTTGGTGTCCAGTACTTTCATCATCTTTCATGTTTTCCTGGCCCGCTTTATGAACCTTTAATGCCACTCAGAGACACTCGACTTTTCACAACACCAGCTCCATAAGCATCTGTTAAGATTCACAGAGTTTCACTCACTTCTGCCTAACTTTGCACAGAAATTGATGTTAATGTATATTGCTGCAACAATTTATCATTCTTTTTCCTTTGGGACAAAAACACATGTTTGTGTAACTCTGCCACTGCTCTGCTTCTAGTACCTTCTTTGCTTCACCAACATACAAGACGCAACAACAGACACTTCTTTTTTTTACTGCTCACTTCTTACTCGACGCAATATATATGCGGGCATTCCAGGAACTTAATTGTCAGACCTCATATTGTCAGTCATATTTCACTTCTTGCTACTTTTCAGAGCCTTAAATTAATCATATCTCTCTCATGCACAGCAAATCTGTGAGGATCCTTGCTGCTTCTTGCACATTTAGGACGTCTGCAGTCTGACTTCTCACAACACTGGCTTCTCTTTGTTCTTCCTGCAGCTCTGTTTCTACTTCATCATCTTCTACATTGCTGTCTTTACGCGCAACTGAGTCAAAGTCAACTGATAACTCCATTTTTACAATTTCTTTCAGCTGTTCCAATTAACACTTTAGACTGATGGTAAAACAAACACATCTTTATATTTCTGAAGCTTGCTGTTTTATGCAGTTGAGGAAGAACCTGAAGATTTTGGACTACTTCTTGTTATAAACCTGAAAGGGAACTGTACCCTCAGCCTGTCATGAAACGGAGACCAAGCCCCGAAGCTACAAACTTAACATTACTACATTCCAACCATGACTGGCTCAGCAAAGGCAAAAGGCTCCATGTCATGTCTGTTCTACTCACTGACGGTTATGCAAACAATGTTCTGTTGTGAAAAGTTGAGGTTGGATTATATTTGTATCCATGTTTCGAGGATTTCAATACAAAACTGAGCTTATAAATACTTCACAGCCTAACAGATGTCCCCTTTGGTATACAAGTGCAGTGGTTTTTATTGTCATGTGAGTAATAACAGTGTTCTGTACTTCAATGTAGAAGGAATATTAACATTTTGTTGAATGGACATATGATAAAAGGTAAATAAAATAAAAGTAAATCCACATCTGTTGGTGAGGTTATGCTGGCTAACCATGCTATTACCCCCACTTAATGGTACCTGCACCTTGTTTTGGTGGTGGGGCTTGAGTACCTTAGTGACCCTAACAGCTATGCTGGCGGTAGCTTAGCTACTGGTAGGGCTTCCCTAGCCAGATTGGTCGAGGGGGAGAGGTCAGACTAAGACAGGTACTCTGGTCCTCCAGGTTGGGGGTTGGTCGCAAGGCTAACAACCTTGCACCGTAAAAAGGAAGATGTTTCGAAACCTCGATCAAAGCCTCAGACAGATGGACCTAACAGAGGATAAGACCGAATGGAAGAGGAGAATTGAGGAGGCCATGAACCAAATACGGACCAGAGAGCCATAGAAGAAGAAGAACCATGCTATTACACCAACCTTTATTCATATTCGTGCACGGAACCTCATCCATTATAAGCGAGCAACATACAAGCAAGTGAACATTTGTTGTGCCCATGATTATAATTACTGGCAGAAACTGGAAAGGAGAGGGTGAGGAAGGTCAACCTTCCCCTTGACCCCACTCACAATTCTCTATTCTAAATTGCATGAAACAAACAGCATGCAACACAAGCAAGAAGCAGCATTAAATGCATCCAAAAAGCTGCTGAATACATCTGCCTTAAACATTGAATGCTACTGGACATTTGTCATTCCATCAACTATCATTGCCAAACCTACATTAGGTCTTTTCTGGGGGGAAGGGCATCATTTCTTGGATATGTTAGAATGATTAAACATTCAGGCTAGCTGAGCAAAATGAACATACCTGATAATTTAAGTGCTGTTTCATCTGGTGAAAGATTATACCTTGCTGCCAAAGACAAAATAGGCTGTAGTGATAATGATACTACTATTAATTTTGCCAAGTCTGATTTTCCATCCTGAAACAAAAATGTACTTCATTATTTAACGTAACATTCAGTCATGCTATCTCATGCTCATAAGTAACAAGGTAACATAATTTAAGCCACAAATAACTCTAACCAAACTGTACATGGTTCATCAGCAAAAAATTCAGTCAATAACTGTGATAAGATTAATTTCAATATTTCTCATATACACACGCTCTGAACTTATACAGAACCCAGGAAAGTTAAAGCAAAATAACAAATACAATAAAAATTCTTGTGATAATTCTGGATCCCCATTCAAAACGAACCGAGGTAAAGGAGCAATGAATCCATTAGCCAAACACGTGCATATCATCTTTCAGAGTGCTGCAAATACACAGCGTGTCCCAAAAAAATGTATTCACATTATAAAACACAATATTAACATTGTTATAGATGTCTGTGTGTTGTGTTTATGAGGAGAACCTAGTGTGTGTGGCTACACTTAATGGATGGCATCCCCACATTATCATTGTGATGACAGGGCCTATCTTGACACTACCATTCCCAACCAATGGATAAGATGAAGTGGATCTGTTGAGTATCCCCAATGATCATCAGATTTATCCAAACCTAACCTTTTATTGTGGGATTACTTGAAGGATGTGAGCCAGCATAGCTCAGTCAGTATAGTGACTGGCTACAGACTGGATGACCAGGGTTCAATCCCCAACAGGGGCCAAGGATTTTTCCATTAGCCTCTGCGTCCAGACTGGTTCTGGGGCCTACCCAGCCTCCTATTCAATGGGTACTGGGGTCCTTTCCCAGAGGTGAAGCACGGCCATGGCGTGATGCTGACCACTCACCCCCTTCTAGTGCCGAGGTCAAGAATGAGTAGGAGTTGTAACGCCTCTCCCCCCAAAGTGCCTACATTGCGCATAGTGGTACAGTTTTACTTTTCCTTTACTTACTTAAAAGATGCAAGATTAGTTCTGAAATTGAAGAAGAAATTTTCTTTAGGCAGTGTTGTAGGTACAACTCATCCTCCTTTATTTAATCACACTAACAATATCTGGTGCAGATATAGGCCATGAATCTCATTATTATGCAATTTTCTCAATGATCCATCTTCCTCCCTGTTAGGTTAGATAAGACATCTTCACACACCCTTCTAGCTGAGACATCAAACAGAACATGACTCAACCCTCGAACAAGAAGAGTGAATGTACAGCATACACAATTATAAATACAGGGCAACCAACAGATTTAATGTGTTAAAACATTTTAACCTTATACTAATGAACCTACAGTAATGCTTGGCTTTTGCAAGGGTTTGTCAAATTCCCCTCTTTTAAAGCCAGCCACTTTAATTTCTATATTCAAACTGCAAAGATCAATCTCTTCATTAGCCAAGCCTACCATACTCAGGCAGGGAGTGCAACTGTCATTTTCTATCCAGTGTCTCTTTCTTCAATAAATATTACTCAATGTAATAACTGTTGTCACTCCATGCCTATACCCCAGAATCCACTTCAGCTCACCATCTGATTATATTTGTATTAATTACTGGGATACATTGCACACATTAACAGGACAGAGAATGAGGAAACATCATGGTGATGTGTGGATGGTTGGAATCCAAGGAAGCATGTGAGCAGAAATAAACCCAATGCTACAGTACAGCACCAAAATTTAACGCAGATCTTACCTGATAAAGCTGTTTCTTCTCTCGGAAAACACGAATCATTTCTTCCTGGCTCTGCTGTGTAATAAGCACACTCTCTGCTGATGTGATACATCCACTACAGGCCAAGCAGTCAGACAGAGAAATCTCCACTTTTCCAAGTTTCTGTACATCACCATCCTATGCTGCACAAAAGTCTGTGTTACAATGCACATTAAAAGGACTGGCCATAACAGTACACTAAAAATGATGACTTGCATGAACTAATTTTAATAGTGGGGAGTAATGAGATTCAGGATAATGTCAACAACTGTTTACATTACAAGAGCTAAAGTAAGTCAAAACCTAATTTAACAGCATCAATAAGAATTTGATACCCTCCAGCTGTTTGGATTGCAAAAATTTCTTTTGATGTTACAACTACCTAACATTGCATCACTACATGACCTAATATTTTCTATATTGCAGTCTATTAAACATAATTATTCAAGCATGTTATATTGTGTTTAAACTACTAAAATCCGAAAAGGTGTTCGGTTAAAATTTGTCTATTGTGGCATAGTCACGCTGTAAAATATTTATATTTTACGGTAAAGCTGCTCATACCTCTTTAATTTGTATGTAGGACCCATCATCTTGTATTTTGATTTTTGCACCAGTGCTACTCTCTATTTTATCAATCTTCACAGGTTTAATGCATTCCTGTGAACAACAAAACATGTTGGTAATTTGAAAATTATAAAAACGTTTTGATTCAGCCTAAATTACAGTCGGCCTTTACCTGCGAAGGTGTAATAAAATCATCCAAATCTGCCAGCATCAAAACACTGCTAAACCGAGACGCCATGATAATATGGATCACGGATTACCAACATGTGAGCAGAAATAAGCTATTTATGCGTAAAGAGGGGATTATCTATGGTGCGGAGTACGGACATTTTTACATAATTTGTGGTACCGTAATATTAGTATGGGAATAGTCTTTTTTGTTATTCTGCATTACGCACAGAAATATTTTTTCACATGTGAGGATTAGTGTCATTTACATTGTCTGTCGCACAAGCGGCAGACACAATTTACTATGGAAGTAACAGATGGCGGAGTAGTTCCCAAGTCGCTAGAGTATGGAACGACTCCAGTATAGATAATATCAACAATCAGCTTACAAGGAAACGGTATCACTCGCACTCCCCATACTAGGTGTTTTCAATGAAACTATTTCCCTAACCATGTATTTTATTCACTACTTCGTACTTCATGTGTACAAAATTTATATACTCTATAAATTATCTTCACATTGGTTTTAGCCGTTTTCATCATAATATTCACTGACATAAATTTAGTTTGTTATACATTTTACTTGATAATAATATTGAGTGACAAGAGATGAAGATTATGAATGAATAAAAATTAGCTACCAGTATACATCCTCCAGCAAACTTATTTTCTGTAAGATTTCGATAGCACTAAATCAATTTCAGATTCAACTCGGGAACTCACCTCGCCCATCCACCCATTCCCCCGACAAAACACATTTTGCAGAATCAACTACGAAATTCTATTAGTATTTCTCAAGCATATGAAATTCTACAGTTTATAATACTACTTCGGGTTGTTCTTAAACGACCAACAGATCCTCATGAGGATCATACAGTAAAGTAAAGCTGCCCCACTATGTGCCATGTAGGTATAGTTCCTACTCTTTCTTGACCTCGGCACCAGATGGGGGTTAGTGGTAAGCATCACGCCCCGGCTGCGCTTTACCCCCAGGAAGGGACCCCGGTACGCATTGGGTTGGAGGCTGGGTGGGCCCCAGAGCTGGTCTGGATGTGCCTAGTGTATATTCCACAAAAGTAGGAACTATAAACTACAATTTACAAATACAACTTTATATAAAATTCTGTTCCACAGAGAAGACTTAACACTTGTAAATTTTGCTAATAATTACAAGTGATGTCACCAGAGTACATAATGTATCCTAGAGTGGACCTGAGAAACTATAGAACGGCATTGTGAATGACTCCTCCATTGGAACGAACTTGAGTGAACTATTAGCACTCATTGCAGGTATTTGCTCTTCCAGCAGATCCTATGGTGAAAACCGTGGGCGGCCAGGCGCAGCAGGTAGTTCAATTTCGTTCATTCCCAACTGATTATGGCTTCAGTACAATAGAACTCCCACCACAATCGGCCACTATATATTCGTCCATTTTGTCACCTCTTAGTTAGCTGTCTTGAAAGCGTCTGCAGATGGTGGCAATAATTGGTTTCTCAGCTTTTTGTTTAGGAAGGGGTCCATTGCCATTTGTGATTTCCATGGTGTAAGCAAGCTAGAGCAATGCAAACCTTAATAGAGTACCCTCAGGAAGCACATCGCCTTCATGTTCTCAAGTATCACAATGTCGTTTACCATCAAGTAATTTCAGATCTGATCCAGGCCACATGTCAGTCCCTAAGGTCAGTATCCTTAAGTTTTCTATATAGTGCATGGCCCTGAGGTAACAATGGCCTCTCAATAACATGTTGCTTGAAGGTCTTGTCAGCTGTATGCACAGTTACACAGAGGTATCGAAAAGAGTTTACATTCTTTAGCCTCACACCTAAACAGCTACTGAAATCGGGTATGCAAGTTTTTCTACTTTCCTAAATATCATGCTGTTTTCTTTTTTGTTGATTATAAAACATTTCATGTTAGCAGTTGTGGAGATCACTAAAAGTTTCTTGGAACTCCTTTTGAATTTGATACGACCATATCATCTGCTTACATGTATAATTTCATCTTCATGGGGCGGTGTAATATTATTTGAGCTGTATATGTGGTGGCAGTATTGGATGGAAGGGTACAGAGAGGGTCACACTGATGAACTCCAATTGAGAATTTAGGTATGGTATGTCCTTCAGTATCCTAGTTATTGCGTGGTTCTTTCCAGTGAGTGCTATACTTTCGTTACGAACAAAACAGCAGACATATTGTGTAACTTTTCAATGCCAGCATCTCCGGCCTCGAAGGATTGAATCAGCTTACCTTTGTAAAACAACTGGCAGGCCCAACAATATGAAGAAAGTACCAGAACTTTCTTTTATACAATGAAACT